TCAAAGTTGGCATCAAAAATTATTGTTGCAATTATGCGTTAGATCCTTCCCAGTAAGAAATAAAACAAACTTTACACCAAATCGGCAAATCTACAGAGAATACAGATAGAGTTATATCTATTTAAAATAATGAATTTTTGCGTAGTCCGATAAAAAAAAACTAAAATAACAAAAATCTAATTCTTTTGTAATACTTGCCATGAGATCTTTTTTTCACTACCCTCGAAGTTCCGTAACAGATGAGAACAATATTTAAAATTAAAGAACAAACCAGGCAGGACACGGTAGTCACCAGTGAAATAGATTCAAAGCTTGTGTTGTCCACTACAAACAACAACAAAAAAATTATTTGTATTTTATATATTTTTTAAGTGTATTATTTAATTTAAAGTATCAGAGACAAAATCCTACCAATTTCCAGTCTGGTTCCATTTCCAAAGAATATTTTTCCACATGAGGTCACAGCGCAGTAAAATATCCCAGAATCAGAGGAGTTGACAACTTTGGAGAAATTAAACATGCAACTCTTCTCAGAGTCAGATTTCTTCTTGCATTCATGATGTTTGTTTCCCTCTGTGTAGATCATATTTGGATAGGTATTATTTGATTTTGCTTGGAACCAGAACACGCTGAAATCTTCAGAGCAAGCCATCTTCTCAGAGTCAAACAAAACTGAACAGTGAAGGGTAGCCGTGTCTCCTGAGCGAACTGGAATGGATACTGCAAGTTGCTGAATGACAGTGTTGTTCGATATCCTCACAGTATTCTCTGCACAACAGAAGAAAAGTTTAAAAGTAAATTAAGCTATGTCAAATACACCTGCAATGATTCTGTTAAAAAAATGGACAGATTCAGTGAGGCGCTTAATACATGTCCATGTTTTGAATATCATCCTTGCAAAAATGTAAGTTTTAAAATGCTATCTAAATAGTTGTATATGTTTCTATTCAGTCTACATATTGTTCAGTTTCCTACAATCACTTTTTTTCATAGCGTTAAGCTGTAGAAGCAGAAATTAAAAAAATAAATCATTCATTACCTGTCACCATCAAATATGTCCAACTCCAGTTGGCTCTCCCTGTCCACGTAGCGAGTTCACAGTGATAGAGACCTTGGTCACTGTAGGTTGTATTCAGCAGCGTCAGACGGATAAATTTTTCATCATTATTCACCTTCCATCTTGAGTCAGAAAACCCTGGCTCAAAATCAATGGTTGTATTTTTCAGTCGTTTCAACACTTTCAAAATCCGCTTCATAGCATCGTCTGGTCTTTGCTTGTACCAGTGGATATCTCTTTGGTTATACTCAACACTCGGTAGAGCACAGTGGAAGGTCGCAGATTCTCCAGCTTGAACTGGTATCAATGGTACAACAGTGTCTATGTAAAAAAAAATAAAAATAAATATAAAGTGTATTTATTTATTCATAAATACAATGGTATTAAAAAAGAACTTACAGCCCCGATGAAGAAGAAGCAAAGTCACCAATAACACGATCATCTTGAATCTGTCTCTTGACAGTAGAGTTGCTGGTGTTTTAATGGTAGTGGGTGGTGCTTCAAACGGTACCAATATCCTGCAGGTCACAAAGCAACATATTGTTCTCATTGGTTGTTACAAAATATAGATTCTGTGATTGTAAGTAGTAATTGTCGTATGCACTTCCTGCCACACTGTTTTTTTTCCACTTCTTAGAAATGCATATCACTTCAATCTTCTATTTTCACACACTTCTTTAAAAAAATATTGCGCTTCCACACTTAGACACTTTAACAGTGAAATTTCCACTATTTCTTTTGTTTTTGTCATTTTGCCGAATTCAGAAACACGCAGGCAATGAAACATATTTCGTATTGCTTATTAACATGCTACTTTCTACTGTGGCTGTCTGCATTTTGCTTGACTACATGAGCACATGTCCAAGAACATGGATGTTACGGCCTGGCTCAGCCAGGGGAAAGGGAAGTAACATTAAATAAACCTAGATGTTAAGGTTTTGACAATTTAGGAATTTATTGTTTGGGTTTTCAACAAAAGGAGAAAAAAACGAAAAAAAAAAAACGTAACAATAATCAAAAGGGTACAACTTACAGCCAACAAGTACTAAATCAACAAAATCTACAAATCAGTGCTGTGTGACAAAACTTAATCACATGGGACTTTGCGTCCAGGTTAAACAAACACAGTAAAACAAACAAAACAAGCTACAAGTCTAGTGTAGCGTTATAAAACCCCACAGGGTAAAGACTGTTGAAGCAGTCTAAAGAAATTAACAAAGCCAAATTAGACCACAACTCTAGTAGCAGTACAAGAAAACAAAACCCCACAGGTTCAATCCTGTCACAAGTTACAGAAAGGTCAAAGTGCAAACAGGTAACAGCAAACCCACGTACACATCCAACAAGTGGCAAGCTGTCTCAACAAAGAAACAAGCTGCACCTTCTCCTAGGAAGTCCTTGATTTTGAAAGGGAGGCCTCAACAGCGATTGGTGGAGCCTGCAATTGATGACCCAATCACGGTAGGCCTCAGGGTGTGACACAGGACATTAAGGCAACACCCGCTTCCAGGTGAAGTCCATCTGATTAGCCTCTGCAAAAAAAACAAACACAGAAAAGGCCACTGGCCGTAACAATGGACATTTGTTCTTGCAAGATGCAGTATGTTTTAAAATGCAGCAATAGATCATCTGCACATCCCACTAATTACTGAATATCGCATTGCTATCTGATCCAGAATTTCTGCACTCTTCCAGTTTGTTTTAAGTTCGCACAGATTTTGACTTTATGTACCGCCTCACACTATTGTGCTCGTGTTCAGAGCACAAACATTTTTGCAGAGCTTTTCTTGATAACATTGCATCCCCTCATTTGAGCACCTATGTCAAGGAAGGTTCTTGACAAAGGTGACTCGCATTTTGTTTTCCAAGGCTTGTAGTACTGGATTAGGCAATAATGCCACAATTTATTAATGGAATAAAATTTGCCTTCAAAATAAAACCACTTTTAAAAAGAATTCTGCAATAATCAGCACAAAAAGTATTAATGTCATCACATAATGCAGCAGAAACTACAAAATGTGTTCAAAGATTTTGTTACATTTTGCATCAAAAAGTGGTTTTATTACATTTTAGCCACATTTTATTACATTATTGCATATAGTGGCTTTACTACATAATGTGGCCATTATAAGGTTTACTAGTGTAAGGCATACTATCAAGTTTGGACCTGCTTTTAACCCTCTGATGCATAAGTGGGTACCTTTGGACCCGGTGAGGTCATCTTTTTGCAATATCTTTGCAAAGAACAGTTTTCATCACTTAATATTCCAGGTATGCCTCAAAAAAACATGTTATTGATATCATGCAATAATTTTTTTTTATTTACCTTTTATACATTTTAAGAAATATGTTTTATATTACTACCCCTGTCTTCCATAAGTGGGTCCAAAAGGACCCGCATTCATTTCCTATGGAATTTAATAGGAATCTTTGTTTCTTAATATTAGTTAGCTAACCAAGCTAACTAACATTACTGCCTATACTTTATTGTGCATGTGTATTTTTTTGTGTGTGTGTGTGTGTGTCTGACACACAGATGCACACAGGACTATGTTTCTCGACTGGCCTGGGAACGCCTTGGGATTCCCCTGGAGGAGCTGGAACATTAGCCTATTATGAACAATGTTCATAATAGAAGAAAAATGTGGAGCTACTCCCGCAACCCGACCCCGAATAAGCAGAAGAAGATGGATGAATGGATGGATGGATGCATAAATAACTGCACATGCATACACACACTCATATGCATGATACACACAGCACAATAGAATACAGACAATAATGTTAGCTAGCTTGGTTAGCTAACTAGTTTCAAGAAACATGCTCTTTCTACCCTCCTCCACCCCCCTGTGCACGCGCGCACACGCACACACACACACACACACACACACACACACACACATATAATGGACGTTGACACTGTTCCAAGATTGCTGTTGTAAAATTGCTGTCATTTTGTTTTAAAAATGTTCTATAAATCGTCACAAATCTTCTACAGTTTGTCCTAAAAATGCTTATAAAAGTGAAAAATGAAACCACAAAGGCTTTCGTCAAATATGAGGAACAATAATGTCTGCGGCTGGTTTGTAAATAATAAAAGGATTGCAGCCAAAGTAACTGTTTGTGTATTTAATACTGGAGATTCTCTCCATCAAAGATAGAGGAAAGGAAGAAGATGGTCAGAAACACCTCAAGAGTAAGTATGCCTACTCTTTCACCTTCTGGCATCCCTGTGGCCTGGGACTTTCACAGAAAGTACCAGCATGTTTATGAAGTGTGGGAGGCCCTACTTTATCAAATCAAGATAGGAATAATAGAAAGGTTGCCACTCTGAGGTAGAAAAAAAAAAAAAAACAGCTTCCAGTCCAGGGTGAGCATGGCTGGCTCTATGGGTGGGCAATGCCCCCCACTGCCTGCCCAGGCAGCAGGGTCTGCCTCCACTTCACTAAATCTGCACTTCCAGAGAAAGAACAGCCCCAGAGCATGAAGCTACCAGGCATCACTATGCTTTACTGTGGTGATGATCCTTTGATATCCAGTATTTTTTTATTTAACTTATTTTTATTTTGAAGAATCAAAATGCAACAAAAGAATATCTCTGCTTCTAGAATCTTTTAGTTTTTATTTAGAATATTTTAGGTTAGACTTCAGTCCACTGTTTAATAAACATACGGAATTAACTTTCATCCTGAACCACTGCAGCCACTTAAATATGTAACAGATTAATAATCAATCTATTTTATTAGCAGGGTGCATGAGAGAGACATTTTACAGTACTCACCAAATAAACAGCATTCATAAAGGGATCATAAAATGCCAGTAAAAGTGAACTTGCTCTACTTGTTTTACTAAAGGACCCTGCATTTTGAGTGACAGGTGCCATGCACACTCCACTCTGAGTTACAAAAGTTCAGACGAGCATGACATACCATGACCCCGTGAGGGTTATAATACACAGAGACAAACCCTGTACCTAGTTATTACTTTATTAATAATATGACAGGCAATTGAAGTTCACAAAGTTAAAATACATAAAACAAAGAACAACATACTGTACAATAAAGGAAAACAAATTATTGCGTAACAATTACAGATAGCATACTCTGATTCTAACTGATTAGTAATACAAATGAATGTGATTAACATGGAAATATAACACTCGAGTACTTCTGGGTTCTTTTTTACTACTTGTGTTGAAGTACCTATGAAGCAACCAATTTAGACAAAAACAAACGACACACATTTCAAAGAGAAAGATTCTGGATGCTATTAGATGCAGTTTTTTTTTTTTAAAAAAAACATCCCTTAAAAATACAGATAATTTCAAATGGCTTGGGGTGCATTTTAAAATACTCTGCAATAAAAAGCAGCTACATTTGATTTTTCACTGCAATATTTGTTGATGTTCAGATTTTAATCTCAGAGTAAAAGCACTCTTCTGTTTCCATTTTTTTCTTCCGGCCTTCACATCGTTTCTTACTTGTAGAGAAATGTAATGCAGCATAGTTTTCGTTTCCACCTTCAGCCTGTGTGGAAGATAACAATAAATTACTACATTTAGCTGTCTGATATTAGGAAATTGATACAAAACCAAAAAAACAATACTTGTCCTCCATCAGTATTACTTACAGGTATTTTCTGTGTCAAGCTGTGTAGTGTTTCTTGTAAATTGATGCTTTCCATCCCTAATTATGAAAAATTGCAGGGTTATTCACTTAAGCGACTTAAACCTTGCTTCACTTAACTTTTATTTAGTTTGGTTTTTAGTTATTTGATGACGACAAGTCAAGTTCAGAAAAATTTGAAGAAATAAGTGGAAGAATTTCTTTGAGATCAGTAAAAAAGGTCATAAACCTTAGTAGCTACTTAATCTGAAAGACAGTCTCTATGTGAGAATGTTGGAGCATAAGAAATAAAACACACATTACACTGAACAAGCAAAACCAATAGACTACATCTTGCAAAAAGCTGTTGAGTGCAGAACATCTTTGCTCTTGGAGCTCAATATTTTGAGCAGATGGTCTCAGGCAAAAAAAACAAACAAAAACAGAACAACCCAAAAACGAATGAAAATGACAACAATCTAATTTTTTTCGTCATACTTGCCATGGGATGGTTTTTGATCTGCCGTTGGAGCTTGGCAACAGATGAAAACAACACTTAAAATCAAAGAAAAGACCAGGCAGGACACTGCAGTCACCAGGGCCGTAAATTCAAAACTTGTGCTGCTTGCTAGAAACAACAAAAAACAAAATAATTGTTCATAATTAATGCAATTATAAATGTATTATTTAATTAAAAGCATCAGAGACAAAATCTCACCAATTTCCAATCTGGTTCCATTTCCGATTAACAGTTTTCCACAAGAGGACACAACACAGTAAAACATCCCAGCATCAGAGGAGCTGACAACTTTTGAGAACTGAAACAAACAACTTTTCTCTGTGTTAAATCTCTTCTCACATTCATCACGTCTGTTTGTGTCTGCGTAGATCACGTTCGGATAGGCATTATTGGATTTTGCTTGGAACCAGAAGATGGTAGGATCTTTTGAACATGGCATCTTCTCAGAGTCAAACAAAATTGAACACTGAAAGATAGCAGTGTCTCCTGAACGAACTGGATTGGATACTGCAGGCTGCTGTATCACAGTGTAGTCGGATACCCTTGCAGTATTGTCTGCACAACACAAGAAAAAACAGAGAAGTCAATTAAACAATGCCAGAACCATATTCAATGGTTTTAATTAAATATTGGGCAGCTTTCAGTGGAAACCTGTCAAATACTTTGACTACTTCAAAAAATAAATAACAGTTTGTTCATAAGTTTCTATCAAGTCTACATATTGTTCTGTTTCCTACAGTTTTATATCCATACATTGAAGTTTTAGAAGTAATTTAAAAAATACCATTATTTACTTATCACTATTAAATATTTTCCAATGTTCCAGATTTGTCACTTTCAAAGTCATTTTCCGAGTATCTCCAGGAGAGTATGTGCTGTACAAAAATTTTATGTACAAACATATTCACTGTTTGTACCAGTGAATGTCTGTGGTTGAACTAAGAATAGGACAGAGCACAAAAGAAAAGTCACAAATTCATCAAACTGAACCAGCTTTACTGTTACTAGAATGTACCAGAAAATGTAAAGTATCTTGTTTACTTCACATTTTATATTTTAAATGTACCTGTTGCTCCTCACATGTACAGGCTAGCAACCAAAATAAGTTCTTAATGTTTTTTCAGGAGGCTTGGTTAAGTTTTCATATCATTAACATCGTATTTTTCTTTCATGACATAGGCAATTGAAAACTTTATAGAAGTATGTTATATTATTTACCTTTGAATGCCAAATTTGTAGCACTCCATTCAGGATTCCCAGTGGAAACCTTGCTTGCACAGTGATATATCCCAAAATCCCCTCGTGTTGTCCTCAAAATTGTCAAGTTTATTTCCTTTTTATCATCAGTAACCTTCCATCTTAAGTCAGAAAACTGTGTTCCAAATGTAAAATTTGTTATTTTTTGTTGCTTCACAGACAATTTAACAATTTGTCTCAAAGTATCCCCTGGACTCTGCTTGTACCAGTAAACGACTTGTTGGGTAAACTTAAACTTTGGCATAGCGCATGGAAAAGTTGCAGGTTCACCAAGCTGAACTTGCATCACTGGAACCAGAGAATCTGAACAAAAAGAAGACATATTACATGAAAGTACACCCATCTCAATATAATCACAAAACACTTGCAACTAATTCAAAACCACTCACATGTCTGATGCAGAAACAGCAGTGCAGCTAATAGAACAAACATCTTCATCCTCCCTCTTGCAGTCACACAAACACTTATTTTTAATCTGACTGGGAGGAGCTTCAACATCATACATGTCATACTCACACATCTTTCCGATTGGTTATCAAAAGTTATAATCTTTTGCTCTTCCTGTCACAATGGTTTCGCCAACTTTAACCAAACACATAAATGTTTAGAAAAGTATTTTTAAAAATATGTTTATATTTGAAAGTAAATGGCATGTTTGGCTATCCTACAATTTTAATAATTTAAGCAGTTTTGAGAAAACAATACCTCTCCTTTTATTGATTGTTGTATTGCTTGATCTATAGATTTAATAAGTATGTTTTGAAGATAAACACTATTCTCATTAGTCCACCAGAACAAATGTATTCAAGTCAGCCATTGGATGCCCTTGTGTTATTTATTCTTTATCACGAATTTCTGGACTTGTTATGGTTGTGTATAAGTCAGATGCTCCTTACACTGTATTCTAATTAAGCCTTTGAAGCTGTGTCTGGTGCTGCCTGAAGATGCATTAGAGGTTGATAGAAATCACAATAGACAGGGTAATGGTTGTGATGCCCTTAACAGGAAAAGGGGCCTCTACATCATTCAAGGCCGGCCTAAAACACCTTTGTTGGTCTTGCATGATGAGCCAGAGTCATTGCACTGCACATTTCTCTGTTGGCTGCGGGAGACAAACAGGGAGAGACAGGGCTCTATCGGAGGAGTTTTTCTGATCTCCACTCTTCATTGTCAACCGACCTGTAGCACTTGCTCATGTGTTTGCAGGTCTACTCCACAGCTGCACACTGAGCGGATATATGAAGTGCTTGGCTGAAGCAGAGGAGACAGAGAAGGCAAAAATGAGCTTCTTTACTCTGGGATGATTGTGGCTTTTCCACAGGCTAAACCTCCACCCACTCACCCATCCACCCACTAGGGAAATCCCTGGTAGTTCTGTATTCCAGTCTGCCCCTGCTTCCAGTAATAAGATCACTAAAGACAGTTTTTATTATGACTTCAAAGTCACGAATGACACAATTTTCCTGAAGTCCTTTTCTTGTTGTTTGTAAAAAAAAATATATTAATATTTAATGGTGATGTTAAAGAAGTGGTTCATGTATTGTAGTTGTAAAGTCTATAGGTTGGGTTTAGAGTACAAAGCTCTTAATAGTAAAGCTCAACCATACCTGAAAAAAATTCATGACTTTTTTTTTTTCCAAAAGAGCACTTTGCTCTGAAGTAAAGGATCTCTCAATTGTCAGATTCCTCCCATGTTCAGCTAGTTCTCAGTTTCTATTGGAGTAGCACCCACAAGCTTAACTTTTCTCCTTTATTCCTGATGTTAATCTATGTAAAAAAAAAAATATTTTGTCTATTCTACTGTTTGATATGTATCCTAAAAAACAAAATATGTCATCAAATGAATGGTAACTTAGGTTTGTAAGTTTCATACTCCATGTTTAAGTTTTATATTTAATTAAAAGCACGTCTTGTATTTTTGGAACTAGGTTTATTTTTACAGTTATACAAACATTAAATGGTAAATCGGAGGTGTACATTTTGAATGTTTTCATCGTACATAAACTTAAAGAGGATGACTTTTGCCAGTTAGCATACTGGATTTTGTAATTATTGTGATGTAAAAAGAAAGGACACATACGTATGCCAGATTTTCACATGTTTGAATTTTCCTTGAATGTAACCTGTGAGTAAAAAATTTCCTCAGTTTGAATCTTTGTCTTCTTTCTTCCTTGTTTTGCTTTTTCTCCAGAGAACTCTAATGCACCATGACGACTGTTTCCATCTTGATCCTGGGTAGTAAAAAAGCAATATTGTGACATTGAAATCATTCATTTATTCCAGGTACTGGAAATTACTTTACAAACACAGCAACAAGATATTTAATTACTCACAGTTTCAGGTAATTGTTTGCTAAAGTCATTCATTTCCTGTGAAGTAGTAGTTTCCCTTCCAGCTGAAAGTAAATGCAGGACAATTTAAATTGAGACATTTTTTTTTAACAATTTCTCAAAATTTGACCACATTAACTGAACATTTTGGTTTAATCCTGTTAATAACGCTTGTAACTCCATGTATTGTAACCGCATACATGGAGTTACAGTACAGTATATTGCATGTATTGTAATATACTGTATATTACATGCAATATACTGTGTGGTTGTGCTAAAAAAGCACAGACTTTACTGTTTGAACTTTTTCTAATCTCCAAACGAGATTGAGTGTCAAACTTGATCAATAGTAATAAAATGAAGTAGCTATATGTATATATTCAATTTATGACACTATGATGACACTGAGTGTATATGGTGCAAGTAATGTGAAACCATAAGCATATAAAACAAATATGAGTTCACAATTTTCACAAAGGTTTATTTAAAGCAGGCTCTAACATTATTTTCACTGTAGAGTAAAACCCTTGGTGTAGTCAACTCAAACTTACCTTTCAAGCATTTACATCCAGTCCATAGAGGTTGGCACCAGATGAAAACAATATTCACAATCACAGAAATAACCAAACATATTGCTAATATCACAAGGATTATAAGCTGAAGACCTCCAGATCGCTCTAGAAAAAAAGAAAAAAAAATATCGGACAACACTGTTTGTTACATGGTAGGTATATGATTCTTTATGTGGAGGAGAAACGCTTACCAATCTTACTTTTGGTGACATTTCCAAATAAAATCTTTCCACATGTAGCAATGGCACAGTAGTAAAATGCAGAGTGATGGGAGGTAATGTTCTTAGAAAAGTGATAAAAACAACTATTTTGACTGTCAGATTTCTTCTTGCATTCACCACGTTTATTATTGTCAATGTAAATGATGTCAGGATGAGATTCTTCTGCTTCAGCCATAAGCCACAACACACTGAGATCCTCTGAACACATTTTGTTTTCTAGATCAGTGAAGACTGAACACTGTAGAGTCCCATGATCTGCGGAGAGGCCCGGATCTAAGACTGTCAGCTGGTGAAAAACTGTGTAGTGTGATGTCTTCATAGTATTTCCTGGAAAGTGCACAAACAGTTTGGAAAACAATTCAACAAACATGAAGCTACATGCATTTTGTTTTAAATAAAACTGATGGGTAATGACTAAATTTGACAATAATATATCAATTTATTATAGTTTAAGTTAAGAAATCTTCACACAACTAAGAAGGAATTTTCTGTCTTCAGATAATTTCTTAGCACCTGCCCATTTTAAAGGCAGGTGTATTTGTAAGGTTTTAGATCACATAGTTTACCTCTCACGATCAAATATGTCCCATTCCATTTATTGGTTCCGGTCCAGTCCATAACCACACAGTGATAGGTTCCCTCATCCTCTTGAGTTGCTCTTAAAATCTTCAGACTGCTAAATGTTTCATTAACACCAGCCATCCACCTTGAGTCAGAAAACTCTGGTGAAAGCACAGAGGTTGCAGGATTTTGGTGTCTCAAAGTGAATTTCACGATCAGTCTAAGAGTTTCTCCTGGACTCTGCTTGTACCAGTAGACTTGTTTTTGGCCTATCTCAGTATTTGGCAAATCACAGTTGAACATCACAGATTCACCAAGTAGAACTGGCTTCACTGGAATAAAAGTATCTAAAGAAAAATAAAAATAGGATATGTTATATTGAACAAAATGCACGTCATGACAAAAATCTAGAAGTACTCACATGCGCAACGAACAAGAAGCAAAGTACCCAGTAGCGCAATCATCTTCGTACTGTCCCTTCAGCGACCTTGCTGGTATTTTAATAGGTGTGGGAGGAGCTTCAAAATGGCCAAACTATGTGTCAAAGTGTCAGATTCTTTTATTGGTTGTTTCAAATTAAAGACTTGTTGATGAGTAGGAGGTGTCTTTCCTCCTGCATACTTGTCTTTTTCAGAACTTAAAATACTTGCAACTCCATTTTTGACTTCGTTCTTATTAATTTAAAGACAGTTGTAAAAATTGAAATTGAAATATGTGTACATAAGAGGTTAAGATTTATTTTATTCATGCAAAGAAGTGGTACTTCAAGTCATTGTATATTTTTTATTATGAAAACAAATCTACTGTGGTCTGTAGATCCTATAGTGTATTGACACATTTATTGTGATAAATTTTATTAAGGTTGAAGCTTGAAGATCAATTCTCAAACATTTTATAAGTAAGTCCCATTAGTAGGACAATGAGTCTTGAATAAAGGAACCTTCCTGTGAATCAGTACTGCAACTTTAGTTGAACAATGCAGTTTTATAACAGGTTTTAATTTTATGATAATTCTGAGATTTCCAGGTTTGTGTGACAAAGTGGTTACGTTTAAGTTCACCGCTCAAATATATTTCTTATTTATCCAATATTTTTATATTTGGTCATAATGCTTGAAATTAAACATTGCTGTTGCACCTTTGCTTCACTCACTTATTTATGGTTTTGTTTGTGGCAGCATTATGTTACAGTCCTCATAAATGCATAAGTTTTAGTTAAAGCTAGCACTTCTGGACCACTGGATGAATATGAATGTTTCTTTTGTTTCAAATGTAAATTTTTTGCAAATTATTTATTTTGTTTTTACTTACCATTGTTTGTCCCTTTTAGATGCTACTGCCTAAGCTGGTGTATGGGAGGAGCCAGCCCAGCATTTCCTGATTATATGACTGTATGATGTCACTGATTGTGTCAATGGGTTCTACCAAATGGAGGGTTTTCTTTCTTTGACTTTTTTTTCTTTAATATATTAAAATCTGGCTTCAAAATAAAACTGCTTAACCCTTTAAAGACGAGGTCTAAATGGCCATCCCGGCGCGCATTCTCTCTTCTCTGTGCGTCAGCACTCGCTATGAAGCCATGTAGCGATAGCTAGCAAAACTACTACTAACCCTGCACACACCACGAACTCTAACTAACACACTTATCGTCTAAAAAACCCATCGAAACACTCTTAGTAAAATCCACAGCATCACTGTGCCCTAGTCTCTTGCCGTATCCAAATCCCCCCCCTCGTCTCTTTCCGCGAGTCTCCGTTCTACCTAGCAACAGACTGTCAACACATTTTTATTGGTTGTTTCGAAATGTGGTACATTTAGACCCCACAAAATAAGGCGGAAATGATCGATCTTATTTCTGGCTT